TTTATGGTTTAACCCTTTTCTCTAAAGTTTTCTATACATTTTTTTCATGAAGCATGGAAATAAATATGTAGTTGAATTGAATTGAATCGATAGTTCACATATGTTTTCATTTTGACAAACAGTTCTGGAGAAGAATTTGTCATGAAGAATAAAAATGAGAAGAATGGTAAATTCTTACAATGTTGGGCTGAAGGCCAAACACCTATATAGGTGTTAAAAAGAAAAAGAAGATAGAAACCCCCTGAGGCAGTAACAAGAATACGTTTTTCATCATAAGGAGGTAAAAGGTCTACTCACTTTCAAATCACAGTATGGAGGAGGTTTGTCATAGACGCGGCCGTTATAATAATCATAACGATAACGCGTGTAACGCGGAAAGCAGTGTTCATTGATGTATGCCATCCTGGCAGCACCGAAACCAATGACGCAGCACGTCGCCAAACAAGCCAAGATGGACATGACCATATAGCCAATAGCCTGTGCAGAAAAAAAAAACAATTTATTCAAACTCTTTAAAAAATGTTCAGGCCATAGTTATCTGGAAATAACATCGTAGGTTTGTACTTATTGGTTACTCTTCCCATTTTGAACATTTTCCACTTCAAGTATTAAAGAAACCCTAAACAATGGCTTACCCATCCAGAATTCTTCGTAGATCCAGACACTATTCCACAGATTCCAGCTAAGCCATAGAACTGTAAAAACATTCAAGGCTGAAATTTAAGGAAGGCTGCATGCTTCATTTTGAATGTACATGTGCAGCAGATGTATATATAAACCCAACCACTTGATCATTGACAACATATTGGAAAACTTTAGTTTTCTATGTGGACACAAAATGGAAATGTCAAAAACATAACGTATCATTCTACACGTAAAAAAACTTACAACAAAAAAACACCGTAAACCTCGTATGTGAAAAATGACTGTCAACAGGTGCGGATCGGGGGGGGGGGGGGAGGGGGGGGGGGGGGGGAATTTGGGGTAAGCCCCCCAACTCCGTCTAAAAAAAATCCCATACAAATTCCAAAATAATAAGTACCACCCCCCCCCCCCCTTGCTGTGACACCCCACCCCCCCCCCCCCCAAAAAAAAAAATTATACTGGCATAATATCCGCCTGTTCAAATTACGGTACCCATTCTGTTATCTAGTGTTGATAATCGTTGAATTTGAACAGCGCCCCTATTAAAATATGGTACAGCCCCCCCCCCCCCCCCCCCCCCCAGTTTTATATTTTATGGAGGCCAAATGTCCGGAGAAAAAAACCTGTGTACATTTACCGATTTTTTTTGCTGATGAACCCCCCCCCCTGCGAAAATTCCTGGATCCGCCCCTGGTCAATACACAAGAATGACATGGAATTCGGGTGAGTATTGTTTCATACTTACTAATATACCACACCAAATTGGAGATCCGATGTCACTGATATAGTAGAAACGGCCAAATGCAGTCACGGTGACAATCCCCAGAATGACGGTTAAGGAACCCAAAACCACTTGAATTATTCCTGTCCATAGAATACCCTTCCAGTTACCACTTCGAGGCTGTGGGTTGGCCGTGCCGAAAATAACGGGAGCGGGTTGCACCGTCACCTGGTGAATGACATAATACGGAAATGTTCGGGTCGAGTGTCAATGATAAAGACTGAGAGCTGGGAAGGGTTTTAAAAAAATCCCCTTATGGTCTTTAGGCCAAAACAAATAAGTCTCCGGTTTCTGGTATGGAGCTTGCCCAAAAAGTGGTGCGGCGACGCAGCTTTTTTTTTACCTGAATTTTTTTTGCCTCAAAATGTCGGCTGATGACTGCAAATGGTGCCCGACTAGACTTAGTGCAAAATGGGAGTCCAGAGAGGCCACTTTAAGCTTATTCTCGATCATAACCCCATATAAAATGTTAAAATTTTGCAGCAGGAGGATTCCAGTCAAACCAGGGAATTGGCGGTTTTGAGGCATCATCTTTTATTGAAAAAAAAAACTTATTCATTTTGCCGAGCGCATGGCTACGGCGACGCGCGCGCATACCAGAAACCGGAGACTTTTTTTGTGTTTGCCTTTAATAGCATAGTATCATCGACCCTGATTACAGAATGGTCAAATTGGGCCAATTTTACGTTTAAGCAATAGCTTGGCGCTTGTAAATAATGGAAATATAACTGAAGCGTGATTTTAGATCAGAGTATAATTAACTTAAAAGTGGCGCAAAAGAGGGCGGAGGGGCGGGGCCACCACCACCCTTCATGTACATTTTCGTTGATATGGTCAAAATGCACTTTTTAAATCGTGCCGAGTTTCCCTGACATGTTTGCTGATGTCTTGCATTTATTTTGACACCAATTTTATGAAAACAGGGCACACTAAGCTTCGTTGCAAACTGTCCATTTTCAAAAACAGGTAGGCCTAAGAGAGTGCCGACTAACACATTGAATTGAAATTTCACATGTACTACAAAATTAAGGAGGAGAAAATAAAACCACTTTTTATTGATGCCTTGGCAGTTGTAGAAAATAAAAAAAGTATCTTAAGGCAAAAAAAAACAACACAGTCTCTAGTCGACACGCGCGTCGGTGTTAATCATGCGCGTCAACCTTTATCCCCCCTTCAAATTAACCCGGAAGCCACAACAACGCCCTCTATTGCCGCAAATCCTCAAATGTTTGTACCAAGGAGCACCAAAGAGTGAGGAAATTGCCCCAAGGCAAATGATAAAGGGCACCAAGGCAAATTATGAAGCACACCAATGTGTAATGAGGACACAATCAAGCAAAATAGTACCCACCTTTACTGTACAATTCAAGCTTGAAAAGCAACAAAAAAATACCCCCTTCCCCAACAAAAAAAACCGCGTCGCCTCATCAATTCCGGAACTTCGGTCTGACCAGAAACAGACTTTTTTTTTTTTGGCCTTAGAGTGAAGTGAAATCATAATTCGATCTGTTTGTCGGCACTCTTATGCACACTTTTATGTAAATGTACATTATCGATCGTGGGTCTCCCGCCACGCCCCGAGGACAATTTGTTTATCCCCGGAAACAGCAGCGAGACACTTTCTGACGAACTTGGCCGCACTCGGGTTTCGTTGGGCTGAAACTAGTATTAGGTTTCGTTTTTCCTTTTCCAATTACCCTTTTTTCTTTATAGCGTTGGCAAAACAAATTGTCGTAGTTTTTAGTTGTTTATGTTTTAGTAAAATAAAATGAAACAAATACGAGTGTGCTGTGATTATTTTTTATCTGTATACAAGGAAAAAGATTTTTTTTATTTTGTTTTTAGGAATACGCATCAAAAATGGAATGCTGTAACTCGATGCGTTGTCCCTTTTTCGAAAACAGACCCCAAAACGGTGTACGGTAAAGGCTTTGCTTTTCCTGCTTTTCTTTTTAAAATTCAAAAAAGGGTGTACGGTAAATGGTTGCTTTTCCTTTTTTCTTTTTAAGATTTTAAAACGGTAACTGGTGAAGGGTGGGTTTGCTGGGTTTATTTTAATTCAAAAACGGTAACTGGTAAAAGGTTTACTTTTTTTTTTTTTAATTTCAAAAACGGTAACCGGTAAAGAGTTTGCTTTTTCTGTTTTCTTTTCAAAAATTCAAAAACAAAAAATGGTACCGGGTTTGCTTTTCCATTTTTCAGTTCAGAATTTAAAAAGACAGAAATGGGTAAAGGGTTTGCTTTTTAATTTTTTTAACAGATTCAAAAACGGTAAAATGTAAAACAAGTTTGTTTTTCTGTTTTCGTTTTTCAGACGCATTAACGGTAACTGGTAAACGATTTGCTTTTTTCTGTTTTCATACCAAGATTATAATAGGGTAAACGGTAAAGGGTTCTTTTCTTCTTTTTTTTGACGATTTTTAAACTGTAATTGATTGGACAGTATGTACATGGATAATTATCAAGTGGAAAAGTTACATTTAGACACCTGTTTTGGAAAATAGACATTTTGCTATGAAGGTTAGGTTTGCCCTATTTTCAAAAAAATGTGTGTCAAAATAACTGCAAGCCATCAGCAAACCTGTCAGGGAAACTTGACACAATTTATAAAAGTGCATTGCGAAAATATAAGCAAAAAATGTACATGAAGGTGGGTAGCGAGCCCGCCCACTCCCCGCTTTTGGCGCCGCTCTTACTTAATTAGTCGGATCTAACATCACTCATAAATCATATTCCAATTATCTACAAGTGCCAAGCTGTCAAACGAAACTTATTTCGTTCTTGTTCTCACAATGTTAACTAAATGTAAAATTGGCCCCATTTGAAATGGCGACAATGAGCCTCGGTCTGATCTAGCGAAGCTTAAGACTTGCCATTCTGTGATCAATGTCGATGATACTATGCTATGGACCATAAGGGGATTTGTTCCAGATTTTTTTTTTTTGCCAAACCCCATCCAGCTCTCAATCTAATATGCTAGGTATTTATTATCATGGTAGTGTGGAGTGATGAAGAAGATGAAATGAATTTGTGATACTTTGTAGAACGAACTCAACGCCATAATGGCATATTTCATACCGGTAATTGACGCAATGTAGGTCTAAACCCAACTAATTACGAACACCAACAACTACAAGATAATAATTTGCCTAAGGTAGGCCTACACTCGACAGCCGTACAACAAGTACAGAACGTGTCCTACAGGTAAATATGATGTTCTTTCTCATTCTGACATTACCATATGAATAAAGGCACTACGCACATGACATTGCAAATACCAGCAGTAAACTTTATTTGTGCGTGTGAAGTCAAGTGTGAAAGCCAGTCATTTTCAGTTTGCCTGTACAAACTGGTACAAGGTAGGCAAAATGGCGACGATGCATTGACGGAATCTTTTACCCAACCCGAGCAAACAGAAATTAAAATCACCATCGATTTCTAAATTGCACATATTCTCACAGATGCAATTGTCAATAAAGCAATCATAGAAAATTACCCAGTCTGCTGCATTAGTCTTAATTTCACTTTTAGCCAAAACTGAACGGTCTAATTCGGGAATAGTTCACGGACTTACCAGTTGTTGCTGGCCGACGGGCTGAGGCGCAACCACGTAGGCAGGTGGGGCGTTGGTAGCGGTCATCATCGTGACAGAAAGTATCTCTGGAGTCTCTGTTAATTCAATCAATTAATCCATAATTAGTCAGTCGGTCTGTCGGTCCGATTCAGCCATATTTTTTACATATTTTATACAAGTGAGATGAGGTCTGAGCAACACATTTATACTTCTGATTTTTCCAGTTCGCATAGTTTGACAAATGCTCCGTGGGACATCTACTTGAAAAAGATCTTCCCCCTCTCTATTGCTCCCCCCCCCGTCTCTCTCTCAAGGCGCGAATAAGGACTTGCTTTTCTTGTTGTAGTATTCGTAATATAAATTATCGGGCAAATTAATAGTTTCTTTAAGGAAAAAATACGCAATCGTTTTACCTTACGCTGGATGGGGTGTTCCTGTTTCCTCAAACGGCGTCACTGACTGATACGGCGCTGTGGTCCTATACACACAGTGCATACAGACTGGGTTTGTTCATAGATCGTAATGGGACGATAAGACACTCCGCTGAAAAAATTGAAACAGGAAGGAGCTTTTCGTGTGGAAGGGCGCCATCACGTTACTGGTAGGTTTCAAGTAGATTTGCTCCAGTAATTCAACGTGAGGTGTGCAAGTAAGTTGTGCAATGCCACCAATCCCCCTTCCCCCTTTTCATATAAATAATGGTGATATGTACCATTACAAATCGGTTTATTCCCTGATTTAGTAGCACTCATCAGCTGCGTCAGGGGCAAATGCTTAAGAAGCTCATTTGATGAGACAGTGTACAGTAAAGTGTGAGGGATATCATATCGTTCGCCCCCCCCCCCCCCCGCACTTTTTTCGTCCACAAATAAAACTTGTAGCCCATACTTCTTTCTGTAGCTCAAAATAGCTAACTCAATGACCCCACACTCGAAAAAAATGTATAAATGATGATCTTTTGCTTAAAGCGAAATCGGTTCAAGTGGTCGGAAATTGCCTCATCGCACCGCACAGCATCTAGAATCGAATATTTTCCGGGGCTCGCCGGACCTCATCGCCGAAGCATTAAAGGCACGAGTGTTGAATTTTTAAGAAAACAGTACATTAGTTTGTTAATTAATTCATTGTTCATTTGTTCATTAATGTTTTTTGTTTATGACTTTTTTGTGTGTATGTTTCTAAGAATTTGTGCGTGTTTATTGTACCGAATTTGGGATTTCCTTGTGACATATGTATAAAGCGTTCTTTTATAAAGGATAGTTATTAATGATTGTTGTTCTTATTGTTGAAAAAGAACAAGACAAGCATTCTGTTCGTTATAATGGGTTCTTAATTGAAACTGATTATTTAAAATGTGGAATATTTTTCAGAACAAAATTACTTGGAAAGTCTTATTTTGTAATTGACCATCTGAAGTACCAGTAATGAGTAGGCCTACTACACTGTAAAAACTCCCTGGTCAAAATTGACCCAGCATCTGCGTCTATATCTGCACAACCATTTTCCGGGTCAAAATTTACCCTTTTCTGGTCAAAAAGAACCTTTTCCGGGTCAAAAATGGCATTCTTCTGGATCAATTTTACCTAGAAAAGCGTAATTTTTTTACCCTGAAACGGACTGTGCATATATAAACTCATATCAGGGTCAATTTGACCCCGGAAAAGCAAAAACAAGATAGAAATTCCTGGGAGAACACGTTTGATTAACGTATTTTTCAGATGCTTCGTTTTAAGTTCATTAAATCGTTCAGGTTTTACTTAAGTCCAACTTGACTGTTACTTTATCATTTTAACTGACTACTCTCGAGATAATTCTTGTGGTGAAAACAAACTTTAAGGCGATTTTCTTTTTGTATTCAATTCCCCATATTTTCTATTGATATCGAATGCATAAAATCTTGGCCTGCCTGTTTAGAATTAATGTCTCGTCATTTGAATCTGGTTTCCACGTATTTGAACCACTTTTGGAAAGTTTTCAACTCTTAAAGAATACCGCCGCTTGAGTCCTTATAATTGTTTGCATTGCCCCGTCTCCTCTCCTGTGAATTACTGATTGTATTCTCTCGATAAACATTGCTAAAAAAATCTCAGCATGTTACTATGTCATTGACACGTCAACTTTTGTTCGCACTTTATTTGTTTATTCGTTCATTAATTTGTCTTTTTACGTCTCTTCATTTCGTAATCTCTTGAAAATCATCAATGAAAGTCCCTCTTGCATTTTACATGCAATGAATGTGATATAATTCTTGTTTTGATTCTCCGTAGCCCCGCACGCGTTTACTTACCCAACGCTAGGGGCGCCCTTCCCCATAGACCAATTTGGTGACGTCATAGAGTTTCATCGAGCGCTGTGCAAAAAGCTACCCAGTGTCCTATCATCCCCATCCATATATGACGAAGTGGTTTGTCAAACAAAATTATTGCGCACCACTTCGTCATATTCTAAATAAAGCATTCACTTAGTGGCTTTAAAAGTACATCGACTCCACAGTGATCATGAAAGGCCTTTTCCCTCGACTGTGTACGAGAATTCATTGGATACATTATTGCAAAACCCGTGACCCAATGTGAGTACACGAACTACACTTCCGTGAGCGCACCAATCGTCAACCATGCGCAAGAAATGCACACAGTTAATTGTGTCGGCCTATTTCAAGTGACTTAACCGCAATACTCTTCGACGCCTTCGTTTCCTTCACCAGTTTTTATTCATGACCGAGTAGCCGGGTGTGTGCTCGGAGCCGGGGGAACGTGCCCCAACAAATTCCCAGTGCACGCATCCCCCCCCCCCCCCAAAAAAAAAACCCGTTGAGGCAAATGGAAATTCAAGCATTCTCTTTATTTTAAATGTTTCATAATAAGGTCTTCACTGCGAACTTTACTATTACAAAAAAATCCATTAAGTTTAAAGACAAATGATTGTGATATCCTGACTATTTCTAGTTTTAATCCCTTTTCCAAATGTGGTTTCTTAACACTTAAGGACGTTGTTGTATAGAAAGCATCCCTGAAATGGGAATACGTTTTAGCAGCATAAAATAATTATAACTAAATGTTCAGCCCTTACGGCAGTTCTGTTGCAAACAGCGTAGGATAACATTTTAAAGTTCTGGTCAACAATCAGCTCTACCTTGGGAGATAATTATTGTCATTAGCTCATGGATACAAATAGCAACACCAAAGTGAGTATACACGTATACATAAATAGACAAATGTGAATAGTCACTGACACCGATAGTTACTGAGCACGATCTAGATTCGTAAAAGTAACAGTGACTGATTTATATCCCAAAGCACAATTTAACTATTCGAAAACATTCATAATGTAAAATCTGTCACCGAGGTATTGCATAATAATAGGCTTAACCTTTTCTTTGCTCAAGTACGTTGATCGTTCTGAAAAGAACGCCCACCCTGATTAAGTCGGTATTAGAAGAGGGATCAACCAGACCGGTCAGCTTAATCAAGTCAGAATTCTGGAACCGAATGTTTTGAGAGAGGGGATGGAATCTCACAGGGGTTTGTACAGGAAAATTAGGCCTTCTGAACCGTCTATTGTATGGTTCTTTTTTTTTTGGGGGGGGGGGTCAAATTCAAGGTAGCAAGTCATTCTTTAAGTGCTGTACAGAGTATAAGTTTATATGTTATAATTAGGCCTATGTAAAGTTCTGCCAAGTCATACATAAAGTCGAACACCTCTAATACCATAGTAAGTTTGTTTTTTTAAGACTCATCTCAAACAACACCAACAAACACCAAACTACTTCCTTCATTATGTTTCTGGTACCCTGATTCGAGGGCATCACCTTTATTTAATTTTAAAGTGCCAACTACATATAGTTTGGGATTTAGCTCGTGAGCAAGTCTCGAATGCACAAATTAAACACAAAGACTTTGGTTATGGCTTTCAACTTTTTTGATGCGACTGAAAAAAAAAATCAATCCAATCACCCCAAACCTTGGCTTTGGGAACTCAAAAAAAATGTAGCCAATGTCTACAGCCGAGGCCGTGTTTCGGGAATGGAACATTACAATGTATTAGTAAATTTTAATAAAAATGTATACACTGCCGTAATGTAACAACAGCTTTTGAGTAAATATATGAACACCTTAATACTAATCTTCATTTACTAATCGGCACTCTATACAAAAATGATGCAACTCCAAGATTCGAACTTTCATTTGATGTGCATGACCATTGAAAAATGCAACACATTTTCCATCATGTACACGTGCAACCACGTGCAGCTAAATATGAGCAAGTCCAGCCCCGAATATCATGAATGCATCAGGTCAAAGGTCATAGATGATCTACTTAATGAGATCCTGGCACTGTTGCTCACCGGTTGGGGACGCTTGAGCCTGTGGGTACTGCACCTGCTGGGCTGGGTAGGCTATGCATTGAACCAAAAACAAGGGGGACATGGAAGAATTATGTTTTAATGATGAGACGACCAGATTAGGGTGGTTTGCACTCTATTAACACTAAGGGGAAAACAGCTTACCCAAGGTTGATATTGTGAAAATTTTAAAAACGAGGCACAATGTTGCACTGAAGAGACCAAAAGCCTCTTACTTTAATATCTGATCAATATTACTGTACCTTAAAGTATTCAAAACTGACATCTAGATGTTTCTCTTACCAACTTGTGGCTGGCCAGTGGGTATGTTGTACAAGACCGGACCCTGGGGCTGAGGAGCAGCCACCACGTGTGGAACAGCTTGGTATTGGATCTGTTATCATCAAGAAAAAATACATTTCATTGGAAACTTTCTTCAAATATATCATCGTCTAATGAAGTGCCTACTAATGGACGATTTTGCTAACGTGCGTGTAATTGTCTTTGACCCCATAATCTGAAGAAACAAAAAATTATCGCGAAAACTCTTTTAACAATCCGAAACACGTTTGTTTAACAAGTTTTATTTCAACATTTCACTTCTTTTTCTCTACTAGTGACCAATTCTTGATTCCCAGGCAAATCTATGAGTCATTTACTTTAATATCTGAATGTTTATTTTAGCCTGTAACATTAATTAAAGAAAAGGACACAGAACTTTTTCACTAGCCACTGACTTAGTCTATTTCTCCGTTTGTACGTCACGAGCCGTCACACGTCCTTGACAAGCTATATCACAAGGCATGTCTCACGTCAACTCACAGTAAGCTATTTGTGACAAAGGCCTTTCCCCTTACTCATAAATTTGACTTGAAAAATAGAATTAGCTTTTGCAAACTGCTTACCAACCAAAAGGACCTATGGTATAAATGCAAAAAAAAGTTAGTGGCCTGACGTTTCGACCCTAGCAGAGTCTTTCTTGGTATTGGATCTGTTATCATCAAGAAAAAATACAATTCATTGGAAACTTTCTTCAAATATATCATCGCCTAATGAAGTGCCTACTATTGCACGATTTTGCTAACGTGCGTGAAAGACTCTGCTAGGGTCGAAACTTCAGGCCACTAACTGCTGCAGATTCAAAACAATGCAGATACAGAGGATATTATACTCAGGTGGCGTCGGAACCGGGGGTCAGGGCCATGTGCCCCTCTTACGGACATGAATGTGCCCTATTTTGGAAGATGGTATCAGTCCCCACCCCCTTCTACTATTTGATTTTACGGAGGCCAAGTGTCCGGTGAAAAAAATGTCGACATTTTAGCATGTGCCCCCCCCCCCCCCCCCATTAACAAAATAAAACAAACAAATAAACGACGGAAGATGCACGTTTGCTGAGCAAGTGCCCCTTTTGGTGATGCACCCAGTTTTAAAAAAGTTCCACCCCGCTGATTATACTTGTTGTCACAACATCATGGTACGCACCACTGTCTGGGTTGTTGATCCACCATTGCAGAGTGGACCGCATGTCATGCTAGCACCAACGATGGCGACAACAAACTCCGCTAAGGCGAGAATTATCAGTGTACCATAAACACCATTGACAGCCGCCTGCATAAAATCATTGCAACAGATACGCATTAGTTACATCATATTCACTAAGAGTATCCCACACTTCAACACATATTTTACATATAACCTGAAGCCTGCATATCTTTGCAGCACGTAATTTTCTCTTTGTAAACATCTAGGTTAGTTTGAACTGTGTTGATTCTTTGAATCACAAATCGCTGTTTTCTTTTAATTTCAAATATAAAGCAGTGTTAACATGACTCTCAATAATTAATCTAGTATCTCAAGAGTAAAATCTACGGTGAAGGATTCGCTAACAAACGAATAGCTGTAAAAAAAAAAAAAAGTACAACCCTTCGTAATTGACGAAGGCAAGAAAAAGGTTTTTTTATATTTTAATCTTAATTTGCATCTTTTAAAATTAAAAATTGTGATAACATGAACTGAGGACGTGGAGAAATTTTTTTCAAAACAGGCATGTATCGTCTGATGCGTATTGCACAAGATGAAACGAAAGATGAAGATTGAGATCATTGGTACACAGAACAAAGAGTATAGTGCACCAACGATCGATCCTTGATGTAGCCAGACTGCGGGGTGCATACTTATGTTCCCCAAAATCTATAAACCTAACCTTAGCCGTAACCCTAACCCTAGGGATTTGGGGGACCATCGGTATTAGGGAACATAGGAATTGGGGAAAATCGGGTAGACCCCGTCTTCGGTAGGTTCCTTGTAAACAACTCAACAAACAACTTAATTCAGTCAAGAGCAACACCCATAACACAGCTGAAGTTTCCTAACAAGAGTGTTATGACAGATTGTGTCAAATAGACGGCTAAAGTCTCAGGAAATGACATCTTCAGCTGAAACTCTTGCAAATAAAGATATTCCATCCATTCCGTCTGATGTCCCTGGAATAAGGCAAGCTGGGGGGGGGGGGGGGTAAGGTAAAAGTCCGTTGTGTTGACAATGATCCAGAATTTGATGGACAAAATCCTTTCCGGCAATTTGCAGACTATTGGTGTCAGAGAACCGATCCGGGCGGTAATTAAATAAATTATTTTTCTCTCTGCGTTTCATCATCAAGTCGACTCTTGTCGGACTGCAACAAAGGCACGCCACACATGACTGTCTCCCATGGCCGTACTGATCTCGGCTGCCGAGGCTAGCCCATTATCACGACGCAGTTGGTCCATGTAGGTAAGCGTATGCCCACCTCGAGAGGCTACTCCATGAGTGGGTTCCCAGAGGATGAGTTGGCTTGCAGCTATCTCTGGATGCCGAACGCAGTGACTGGCCAATCACAGACGCCTAGTCCTGATAGTTGTAGAGATCCTTGGCAGGTTGCCATAGAGCACCTCATTCCCGACTTTGTCTCTCCAACTCACGTCTAGAGCCATCCTCAGCATGCGAGTGTATACAGGAACCATCGAGTCGAGCCTCTTGCTTTGTAATAAGAGTCCATGCCTCAGAGCCGTAGAGTAGGATGGACTCCACGGATGCACGGAATAGAGCTCGTTTGAGTTTATCCGGCATCATAGACCTCCAGATCTTCTTGAGGTTTTTGGCAAGCCTTCCAAGCCTGTGCTTTCCTTACCGTCCTTGTCTGTTGAGCTGATGTGGGGGCCATTATGAATTCTTCTCTCACAGCTAGGGTAGTGCCGCCCTTGGTGTTGATTTTCACATCCCCAGTGTGTTAAAGCACATGACTTCCGTTTTCTTGACATTGCAGCTATCTCTCCGCGTTTTACGTCTAGAATTACGTTCTACCAACCTTCAAATCACAGAGGTCAGTCAAGAACGTGCCCCTAGGTCGGCAGAATGAATTGACGAATGCCATCATGTAAGCACCAAAACCAATGACGCAGCACGCAGCCAGACAAGCCAAGATGGACATAACCATGTAGCCGATAGCCTGTGCAGAAAAAAATCACACTTTTTAAAAAAAAAATTGGAAAATTTGTTTGTCTATAGCTGTAATTCGACATGCATATGTACATTAACTTAAGTGGCCCTTGGATAAGCCATAATTGCATTATCATCATCATCATCATCATCTTGTTTCATCCCACTGCTGGGCAAAGGCCTCTCCCATGGCACGCCACTTATCTCTGTCCTTGTTATGCCTATTGTTATTAAAGATTTAAATAAACTCCTCCCTTCCTGGAAGTTCAAGGAAGAAACACCCGAACCCCACACTGCCAAATATGGAGGCAAACCACTAACAATGGCTTACCACAACGGAACTCTTCTTACATCCAGACAATGTCCCCAAGATTCCAGCGACTACATAGAACTGTAGAAAAAAAATCAAGGTTAAATTTAAATTGCCCTTCGAAATATAACAAACCAGAGGGCGAGTCAAAAAGACACTCCAAAAAAAAAAATTTCATATTTAAAAAAAAGTAGCACCAAAATAAAGCCGACTGAAAAGCCACTTTCATATTCTACTTTTAGATGAAAAGATTTACTGAAATTGCTCAATCCGTTCAAAGTATATCACCATTTAAGCACAATGACCCTAAAACCTCTTTCGTCCAACATTGCAATTTCAAAACAAGAATCGCCGTCACGATCGTCGTCAAACATCACCAACGATAAAGTCTCAGTTTAAAAGTAACAAAAACAATAACAAAGTCCTTTTGGAGGCCCGTTTTTTTAAATACAAATTTGTATCATTTTCTTTGTTGTTCCAAACAATCAGAACAATTATATATGTGTGGGGGCACGTAACCTCCATCCACTGTCCGGCTCCCCGGATAAAGGGTTATATTTAGATTGACCTATGTTGTTGTTTACGTGTGACCTATGCAAATGTGGCACTTGTTAACTTAATGTCCCTTCGCTCTAGAGACAAGTAGGTCCGTAGTTTTTAGAAGGTTTTCTTCTTATGATTGTATAAGAGCAACAATTATGTGTAAGTGGAAGTTCCTTTGAGCATATCATATAATTTACGGGTGTAATTAATCCGTAACAGCATTTTGTGGAGGGTGCAATAATATTTTAGAGACGCTTGGTGGTGTGTCCACATCGTGTGGGGGCGCGCAAAACAGGCACTGCTTGTCTTCCAATTTTTGGTCGGCATGCAGTAACCTATTTTTGTAGCCGGGAATTTTTCGGTGAGATTTCACCTTTCCTTTGCTGTTTGCCAGCATAATCATGTGCTGAGCGGGAAGGTGGGTGCCTCCAGAATCTGTGGCAGTATGTAGGCGCGGTCTACTGAGACTTTCATTTATTGCACCTGGGGAGCTTTACTGGATCTTTTTCATCCTGATCTTTACTGGATCTTTTTCATCCTGATCTTTACCATACGGGATCTTTTGTACTCTGATTTGCTGATGTATGCTTGTAACTTGATTCTGCTGATGATTGAATAAATTCTCCATTAATTGTTGAAGTTATCTGGTGATGCTGTGTAATTCATCTAGATAGCCTCCAAGTTCCAACACACTTATCCTAATTTAGTTTGGGATCGAACTCCCTTCATCATGCTGTGAAGGAAATCACAGTACTGAAATCACTTCATATATATATTTTTGGACGGAACCGGTTTTAGGGTCATTGCGTTTAATTAGTGATATTCTTTGAACGGATTGAGCAACTCTGTAATGTTTTCATCTAAAAGTAGTTTATAATGTTGGCTTTCCAGTCATTACTATTTTTGGTGCCACATATTTTGTTGGATGTGAAATATATTTTGGGGGGTTGGGTTCCAATTTTTTGACTTACCCTGTACAACAAAGGGACAAAATGTTGTCCCCTTTAATTTGAGGTTATAGTGCTTGAAGGTTTGACAATTTCATTAATGTTTCATTTTTCAGTCATGCCGTCTTTCATCATTAGCAAGGCATCCGACACCTGCCTTTAGAGAGGAGACAACTTTTAGCCTTCTATGTGTACACAAAATAGCAGTGTCTATTGCATCGGGGGAACCTCTTTCATTGTACGACGAAACCTTCCGGTTAACAGACGAGCCTCTGTTTCATAACCTTCAGAACACGACTCAGTGTACTGAGGTAAACGAAATAAACAACAGTTTCGATGCTAAAAAAAGTTCAGTAACAGTATGATATCATGAGGCAGTAGAACCAACAAAATGAACAACCGAGCCAAGAGCCCAACAAACAACCCCACAAACAACCCCTACAACCCCTACAAACGAAACACTAACAAAACCAACAAGCACCCCAACAAAAAGCAATCAGCAGCTGCCAATAAACAAGACTTATAGTGGCATAAAATTATTGAATATTGTTTAAATTATTTACCAAGATTCCGCACCAAGCTGGGGATCCGACGTCAAGATACATGAACACAGGGCCAAATACTGTCAGTGTGACAATCCCCAGAATGGTTGTCAAGGAACCCAAAACCACTTGAATTATTCCTGTCCATAGAATACCCTTCCAGGCACCGCTTCGAGGCTGTGGGTTCACCGTGCTGAAAGTAACGGGAGCTGGTTGCATCGACACCTTGGGATTGATACAGGACGGTAAGGGTTGAGTGAAAAACGGGTGTTATGATAGTGTTGATGATAGTAAAAGGAATTTCTGATATTTTGTATAAGTGTTGTGTTGCTAAACACTACCGGGATCGACGAGGACAAAACTCAAGGAAATGTAAATACGGAGACCAATTCTGGGTCCAAATAATTTATTACTGACTACTCAACTGAACATAAGATTATATCGTGAAGCGAACAGCAAAAGTTGGGCGTTGTCGACGGCGCCTCTAGACCAACTGCGCCGAGTACAGTACAGTGGCTGACTCATAAAGACAGCCTTGCATAACATGAACAAATGCATTACTTAAATTCAAATCGGCCCTGCAGCCACAGACTACATTCAAAGGAAACACAAGAATGCTTCACAACATAAGGACCAGAAAAAAAGTCTCCGGTTTCTGGTATGCGCGCGCGTCGCCGTAGCCATGCGCGTCGGCAATATGAAAAAGTTTTTTTTTTTTGTCAATGTAAGATGATGTCTCAAAACCGCCAAACTCACTGGTTTGACTGGAATCCTGCTGCTGCATAATTTTAACGTGTTTTTAGATGGGGTTACGATCGAGTATAAGCTTCATGTGGCCTCTCTGGACTCCCATATATTTTGCACTAAATTAAGTCTGGCACCATTTGCAGCCGACATCAGTCATCAGCCGACATTTGAAGAAAAAAAACCAAGGGAAAAAAAGCCGCGCCGCAGCACCACTTTTGGGGCAAGCTCCATACCAGAAACCGGAGACTTTTTTGGCCTAACACAGTCAACACCATAAAAACATATTTCGTATAATTGCAATAAAAAACCAACAAATAAAAAGTCATTAGTGTTTCCCCTTGTGAACTCGCGCAACACACTCCCGCGACACAGAACATGTCCTTGAGGTAGGCAAAATTATTATTTTTCTCGTGCTTAAATTACCATATGAATAATAGCAATACGTACATGACATTGCAAATACCAAACACAAACTTTCTTTGTGCGTGTGTTGTCATGTATGAAGACCAGCAGTCGTGTACAGCTTGCCTGTACAAACTGGTACAAGGTATTGCAATATGGCGACGGCGTTGAAAAACTGCATAACAGAATACCTGATTACAATGTAAAGGCACCCTAAATCTCAAAACATGATTATCTCAAAAGAGTGATGGCTTATATAATAAACATATTTTAACTGATATAAACCGTGATTTACTCAGCCCACAATATATAGGGCCCATTTGATTTCACTTGTCGCTACATGTTTACTGAACGTTCAGAATTAGTCTGTGAGTGAGCAACTGATGTATTCTGGGAAAGTTGCTGACTGGCTTACCAGTTGCTGCTGGCCGACAGGCTGAGTCACAGCCACGTAGGTAGTCATCGTTACAAAAAGTGTCTCTGGATTCTCTGTAATTCAATCAATTAATCAATTAATTAATTAATTTAATCATTCAGTCCGTCTGTCGGTGTGATTCATTAATGCTTGCTAGTGTTTCAAACATGACCTCTGAAACGTAAAAAAGCCCAGAGTCCACAGAGTCCAAGCAAATGTATTCAGAGGTTCCACTCCGTATGGTTGAGCGGTAAAAAAAACATCTACTGAAAACGACTGCCTCTCTCGCAAGGCGCGGAAAAGGACCCGCTTTTCCTTCAGAGGCAAAACAAAGTGAAAACAAACGCCAATCGTTTTACCTTACGATATGGAGTGCTCCTGTTTCCCCGACTAACGTCACTGACTGGCAGGTCGTACTGTGAGCAAAGCGCATACCGACTGGGTTTGTCAGACGATTATTATTGCGCACCACCATACGTCACTATTCTAAATAAAGCATTTGTTTTCTAAATAAAGCATTTGCTTCCCCTGCAGGGTCTGCTTCTCACTACGCCATGGCTCTTAAACAGGCAGGGGATACAAAAAGTTCCGTAACCTCTAATTTAGTTGAGCTTTCATTGGATACATTATTATAAAACCCGTGCCCTAACTAGTCATCCCTTTCGTACGTGAGCGACCACCCATAATGCGCAGGGAATGCACTTGCAGCTGAGTGTACAATACAAGTGACGTACCCTCAATGCTATATTAGGCGTACTTTTCATTCATAAGTTTTTGTGACAGGACAATTATACGAAGCAGAACACAACAGAATGTGTTTCTAAAAATCGAACGTGTGTTTAAATCCAATGCATTTTAAAACAATGTACTTCGAAACATATCGAACATGAATTTTACCACCAAAATGCATTTTGCAAAACTGAACACATTTTTATAGACATGTTGGGTTTATTTGTACAATTTCATTCGGTTATTGAGAAATGCATTCGAATCGAAAAGATGTTTGGTTCATAAAAATAAATTCGGTTTTGGAAAATGCATTCGGCTGGTAAAAATACATGTTCGATGTATCGAAATGGCATCTGTTAGAAAATGTCTTAGATTTAATACACGTCCGTTTTTCAGAAACGCATTCCGTTATTCAAAATATATGTTCCAATCTTTATGACTCTAACTCTGTTTCGTATCATCAGCGTCTTTGGCTAGAGCGCGCGATGCTGTGGGGACGAGCCAAACTGAAAGGCGCAGGCTCATAGGTCGTCGACTGGGCCCCAGCCCCTATACCTCGAGTCTCGAGCTACAACCTGGACGGAATTGTAAGACTGCACAGAACATGTGACGGTTTCTTAGATCCTATACTACTCTGTCGTGTGTTGCGTTCACAGTCTATTTGCATAGCGCCCTCTGGGGTCGAAAAGAGTGGGCCGCGCCATTTTAGAATTGTATCAATAAAGTGTTTACTCTCAAATCAAATCTGAATTGCTCTCTCTCTCTCAGTACTGGACTCTTTGTAACCTTGGACATATCATCGAGGCATGACAAAAACTCTTCACAACTAATATAACGGTACAAGTTTTGAATTTCTTTATTGACCTCAATTGAGGGCGATCAGAATCAAAACATTCTTTAAATTTTAAACCTTCCATAAAGGGTCTGCCCAACGAACTTTGCGATGGAAAAGGAAATATTAAGAATAATCAAAATGCACGTGATGTCCTGATTTCAAGGTTTAATATCCTTTCCCCAAAATATGTATTGTAATACTAAAGGACGCTGTGATATAGAAGGCGTCCAAGAATTGAAATCAATGGAACTCGGCTTTTAGCAGCATACCCCAAGCAAAACCAAAATGAAGGTTTTGCCCCATACAGACTGTGTTCTGATACCAAAAAACAATGACTGACACGGATGATCAAACAATGATTCCTTATAGTAAAACAACAACAAAAAACCCAAACAATTTTGTTCAAACATCAGCTTGTCTTCGGGAGATATTGTCATTTGCAACATGTGATAGTTAGCAAAACCAAAGTGAATAGGCCTACTGTGTACATACAGCCTACAGGGTGAGTCAAAAAGAAAAGGACCTGATGGGAAAAGGAATATTTAAAAAAAAAAACATGCTGCTCGCTCCATTTAATATATTAAAATTACATAGAGCGCCTAGGTACATATTATTGACTAGTAGGCTAACGGTGAACATTTCACGTGATTTGCGTATTACAGGGTGGTTCAAATAAAAGGACACCCACATTTGACAGCAATTTTCACCTATTTTAAAAAAAAGCTTTATTTGAAAGGGCATGACATTTGATTATGTTATGTAATGTTATGCAACAATGAACTTAAGCCGACAGCTCATTAAGTAGATAATCTTAACACTGACATGAATATGTCATGGTGGGAAGGTTTTTAATTTTTATAAACTACGAAAACGTCCAATTTACAAAGAATAACCCGTGGACAAGACTAATTTTGGAGACTTGTATTCAAATTATATATCACTATTTTTGCGACTTTTACAAAGCTTTTTTCACCATGCATGGTTAAAGGCCTATACTTAAGTACTATGTGAAAAAATATTTAAAATAAGTCAAAAGTGGGTGTCCTTTTTTTTACCACCCTGTACGTATGTTCACAAGTTTATATACATTTTAATACAAACACCACAAAATGCAGCTGTCCACCAATGATCATTTACTGTTCAATCACAATGAAACAAGGGTGTTTTTCTGCCTTTATGAAAGAACGAAAATTTGCATAGGAAAACGGACAAAACTCACTATCATTATTTCAGAAAAAAAAACATCACAGTCTAAAAACATAATCTGACAGTAAAAATAATGTTTTAGTCTTGACAAAAAAAAATTAAAGTCTCAGTTTTGTATCTGAGTGTATGTGTGTAATATGAGGTTCAACTTCTCACACGACACAAGAGCTTCATAATGGCATTCCATGGACAGCTCCAAAAATTGATTGATTCCAAGAAGCAGCTCACACGTGTTGTTCGCTAATGAGAATACTAGATTACCATTTAAAAAAAATATAATTTCGTAATAATACAAGTTTCTTTATTCCGGCAATGTTTTTCAGCATGAAACAGCCTGTCAGGATTGGGCTAGGAAATTAACGACATGTTTTCGAGGGACCTATATAGTGGGTTGATCCTTTGGTGTGAAGGATTGTTTGGGACATTAGAAAAATATTTCATTTCCTTTGGAGCGAGCAGGAATGCATTTTCGTCCAATCCAGGACTCATCAGCCGCATTGATTCCGAAGAACCGGGGTAGTCCATAGTTTGGTGTGTGACCGTTGGGTGTAAATGAGAGTGAACCCGTTGATGATGATAATGAAAGTAACAATGATGGTTTGACATATGATTGTAGTGACTGTATTTTCGTTCTTCCAGTAGGAAGGAGAATTTGGAAAGCTCCTTACAAAGGTTTGAATGGTCTTTGTATGTTTGAGGGGTTTGTTTCGCATGAAGTATGCAGTTCCATTTGTCTTTGAAAGTGATTAATACTATCAATGAGTGAGCATTGGGTGGGTTTGGCCGGAGTGGGAACAAAGTTTAAAACTTTAATCGTGCAGGCCGGGCTATTCTCTCTGATGTGGAGGGGGATGATAAGTTGAATATAACACGTTCTCAGTATAACTGTTTTTGTTTTTAGCCAAAGTAGCTCGGGATTGGGTTTTATTTACTCGGTGGTTTTGTCAGTAGTGGTGGGTATAGCTTTTAGGTTTAGCTAGGTTTTTATTTGCCTTGTAGTTTTTGGTTAGTTTTCTATTTGCCATAATGTGATAGGGATTCTAGAGTCAGACACGGATTAAATCTCTTTTTTGAGCATGTGATGGCTGAGAATAGAGCCGTTTGTGTCTTTGTTGACTTGGTGATTTATGCACCGTTTTCTCTTTTGTCCTTTGGTTGGTTGCTTCCTGCTAAGGAAGTGGCGAAAGATCTTCAAGGCCGTTACGATGTCTTGGTACTCGACGAGATGCCCCTTGATTTGTTCGATAGCTTGTTCTTGCTTGGTCTTGAGATTCGCCCGGTTGGTGTCCTTCTGTTGTTGGAGATTTCGCAGCGTTAGCTTGATGAGCGTGATGGCTGATGTTTTGTTGATCCAGTCCTAATTGGCTTGAAATTCGGGCTTGTGTAGATTGAGCTTCTCGGTAAATATGGTGGTCGCAGTTTGTTTGCCAAGTATGGTGGCGGTTCGTTCTTTGCGATTGCAGTTTTGAGTTTGCGGATCTGGGTGTCCAGGTGAGTTCGGTGATGGGCGAGTTCTTGGAGTGGAATGGTGAGTAGTCGAACAAAGCTGAAATCCTCGTCTGCCAGGCGGTGCTTGGTAGAGCACGATATAGGCCTCAACTCATACAATGTGTTTGAATTACAACCTAAAGCTTAAACATCTTTTTAAAGAAAAATATAACAGTGTATAACTTGAAGCGAAGTGTTGTTGAAGTCAATGGAAGGGGTTTAACAAGCCATACCAGCTAAATCAAGTCAACGATCTGGAATCTATATTTATTTATCGCAGAGAAGTTGAGAGAGGTGCGCTACCGTGGACTGTTCCATCAAAATCAGCCCTCACCTACACCAACCAATATGGATCTAATTGTCACATTACAAGAAGAAGCTCATGTGTTGTACAGTAATGTACTGACTAGAGTACCATTTTATTTATTTTTTTAATTTGGTAAAAATACAAATTCCTTCATTCCTGCAATGGTCCCAGTATGGAATAGCCTGCCAGATGTTGGTCATCCAGCGACAACAGGAACCAAGGCATTCTGCTCAAGAACACATAACTTTCTTAATAATTTGTTATCTTTCTTCACAATGTATCATGATTAACGTTCCTTTGTGAGAAGAGTCACACCGGACAAACAGCACTGTGGTCAATACGGTACCAATTTATTCGCTTGAAATAGTCAAATTCAGCAAGCATTAATTAACATCACTAGTTATACAGCCTGTATACTAATGTTTAAACCATTACATCAAGGTACATCAATCAAGTAAACAAGAAATGCGCAATCGCATAACGGGTCCCAAGGGACTATGGATATCCATACACATAAGCACAATGCTTTTAGAAGCGCCACCGCTTCTCACAACAAATCGAAGCGCAAAATTGCTTCACACAAGCTGATAATTACCGCTGTGCTGTGGATAATTCACTTATCGGCAGCACAAGAGCCCATGGAGGGAGGGGTGGTGGATCACATGATCCATCATCACCGTTAGGATGATGGACGTATTAAGCCAGCACTGGCGATAGTCGCTCGTCCGTCTGTGCTGACCCTCACAATCAAACTTTGACAAATGGACAATCTCACCTCTCCCTCCCTGGGCTTACACCATCCATACAACCAAACACCTTTTCTTTTTTTTCTTTTTTTTTGTGGTCGCCCGTTCACCACTATCGTCCCCAACTAGCGGCAATACTTAACCATAAACAATTGGCTATCATGTTAGCATCTCTTTAACCAATGGCAATAACCCGGGCAAGTACATGTAGCTTACAAATTACATACAGCTGAAAACACTACTTTACGTATTTACACACACTTCTTAATTAACATACACACGCTACGTACTTATTTTCCTACATCACACTATGTTTTTAACGAAACTTTCTTCAACCTGTGCTTGAAACTTTGCTTAAACTCAATCAATCTGGCGACAGACACGTCACCCTCGTCAAGCTCAGCAATTCTTTTTGCTGTAAAACAACCTTCACAATGGGGTTAATACTGTGTTTCTCGGGGTTTTTTTTTCTTTTTTCTTTTCTTTCTTTTATGGTTTTT